ATATTTTATTTGATACTATTTCCGCAGTTGGTTTATTATATACTATTTTAACCCATTTAATAAAGTTACTACCACAATTCTTTCCAATTCTTTAAAAAGATAGGGCCATTCAACCCTATCAAAAGCCTTCTCTGCGTCCACTGAAAGAAGAGCTGTGTCTTTAGCGTTCTTTTTTAACCAAATAATATTCAGGGCCCTTCTAATATTGTGGTATCCTTGCCTCCCAACCACAAATCCATTTTGATCTTTATTAATAATATCTGGTAAGATTTTTTGCAGTCGAAATGCCAATAGTTTACAAATGATTTTGAGATCAGAGTTAAGTAGGCTGATGGGTCTCAGGTTTTCACATTTATTGGGAGGTTTACCAGGTTTTGGCAGAAGAATAATTAGAGCCCGATTTAAAGAGGGAGGCAAGGTGCCCTTTTCAAATGACTCCATGAACATGTCTAGAAGGGGACAGAGCAATTTGTCCCTAAATTTTTTGTAAAAGTCAATGGGGATACCATTAGGTCCTGGTTGCTTGCCAGATTTCATCCCATTAATGGCCTGTGCTAATTCCTCTTTATTTATTTCCATATTTAAGTTTACTCTACAATCTTCTGCAATGACTGGAATATATAGTCTACCCAAAAACTTGTCTAATTCCACTTGGTCTAACTGTCCTTTAGAGTCATAAAATTTCTGATAATAATCTTTAAAAGCATTATTAATATCCCTCGGATCTATTAGAGTTTCATCCTGTGTTTCAATTGATGTAATCGAGGTTGTTGTTTCAAGCTGTTTAATCTGCCAAGCTAGAAGTTTTCCAGCCTTGTCCCCCTGTTCGTAAAAATTTTGCTTCAATCTTAAGAGACTGGATGCAGCTCTAAGACAGGACAATTTGTCATATTCTGCTCTGAGAATCAACAGCTGTTTTTTCAATTCAGTATCATTTGTTTGAAAAACCCTCTCCTGAATGTTTTTTTATTTTATTTTCTAGGTGCTGCCTTTTAGTTTTGGCTTCCTTGGACTTATTGCCTGTAAAGCTAATAATATGGCCTCTAATAAACGCTTTAAAGGCTTCCCATCTGATGCACGCTGTTGTTTGATTTGTGTTAAACTGAAAGAACTCATCAATTTGTTGTCCTATATATTTAACAAAATCCTCATCCTGGAACCATTTATGCTGAATGCGCCATTTAGGGGGATCCCTGGTAAGATTCTTATCACAGTAGCTCAGACAACATGGAGCATGATCTGATATCACTATGTTTCCATACGTACAGTTTTGAATTTTTGATATTAGTTCTGATTAAATTAAAAAATAATCTATTCGCGAGTAAGACTGAAATGTTGCCGAATAACATGAGTAGGCTCTGGTTTGTTGCTGAAGTTCCCTAAAGATGTCTACCAGTCTAAGAGTTTTCATAAACAACTGTATAGTTGTTCTACAGGTGTTATGTGTCAGATCTGCCCCTGTGGATCTATCTATTTCTGGCATAAGAGTACAATTAAAATCCCCTGCAATCACAAAACACCCCTGCAATGATGAAAGTAAGAGGAACAAGTTTTGAAAAAACCCAGGATCGTTTGTGTTAGGGCCATAAACATTAACTAAGTTAAGTTTTTCCAATAGTAAAGAGCCCTGAACTATCAAGTATCTACCCTGCTTATCCTTGATAACATTGTTTACAAGAAATGGGACAGATTCATGGATAAGAGTCATAACTCCTCTGGCTCGAGAAGAAAATGCTGAAGTGAATACATTGCCTCGCCACCTCCTCCTGACCCGCCCCTCATCTTTTTCCACAAGGTGCGTCTCCTGTAGAAATACTATTCTGGAATTCAGATCTTGCAGTTTATTAATGACTTGTTTGACCTTTTTTAAACCTTGTAGGCCCCTGCAGTTCCATGTAACTATCTTAAGATTTAAGGCTTGCGACATGCAAGATCCACCAAATTACCAGAAAGGGAGAAGAAATACAAAGCAAAGTTTACCCCATACAAACATGAACATTTGAGAAGCTTAAACAACAGAACAGAACTCACAACATAACCCCTAAACCCAGATTCCCATCCCAAGTCCAACCGAGGGACTCCCTCCCCCCTCCGCACACCTCCCGCTATCACGTGTGACCGACCCACACGCAGTGAGGAGCAGTCTAACCACTCAATAACCAAAATAAAAGTTTTATTACCGATGCTGTTCACTATGTATAACAGTAACTTACTCTTCCATATATTTGCTCACGAGATCGAACTTATTAGTATGGACATCAACCGGTATGTGCACTTTTCCCTTTGCCATATCTAAGCAGAAGTAAATGTATTCTTAATAAAACCCTCCTGTTCCATCACCAATACAACTGAACGATAATGGCATCAAAAAGGTTATAGGAAGCCACAAATTGTTAACTTAAGAAACCATATATGGCATTTTTAACCCATAGTCACCTCCTCGTTGGCTTTCTTCTGGATTTTCTGTAAAAACTCACGTGCAGCCGCTGCTGTTTTGAAAGCATGAGTTCGGTCCTGATAAGTCACCAGCAGCTTGGCTGGGTGAGCCACCCCGTGGCGTAGTCCCAGTTTGCGTAGCTCCGTGCGTATCGGGTCAAACTGCTTCCGAAGCTGGAAAAGACCCGTCGCTGTATCTGGGTAGAACCGGATTTGATGATTCTGGTAGCGAATTTCAGTATTAGCTCTTGATGCTAGAGCAATAAGCTGCTTATCCTTGTAGCTGAGAAATCTTATTATTAAAGTGCGAGGCGTTGCGGTGTTGTCTCTCCGGGCTCCAAGTCGATGCGCTCTTTCCACGGCCACAGCTCCAACACCGAGGGTCTCCGGCAACCACTTCTCTAGGAACTCACATGGATTCTGCCCTTCTGCTCCCTCCGGCAGTCCGATAAGCCTTAGGTTGTTTTGTCTCGATCTAGCCTCCAGATCCGTAACTTTATCTTCCAAGTCCTTCTTCTTGGACTCTAACGCATCCACCTTAGTTCGTAGCGTTTCTATCTCACTTTCCGCATCAGAAATACGTGTTTCGGTTTCTGTGATTCGTTGTGTACAGTCGTTTATCTCTTTTCTTACGCTGTCGATGGAGCCCAGAACTTCGTCGAATCTAGAGGAGAAATCTTTCTGAATCGAATTAACAACAGAAAGTATTTTTTCCACCTTGCTGCTTTGAGACTTCGGGTTCTCTTCTCTGTCTGCGGCAGCCATCAGAGCCGAGCTGGAGCCAGCATTAGCTTTCTGCATTTCACCTCGAAGATGGTATTCTGTTAGCTTATGTTGTTTCGCCTTTTCACTTACGTCTTGGGATGTTTTTGCTGCTTTAGGCATTATTCCGAACTCGCGCGTTCATTTGTCAGTTAGTTCGTTCTGAAAGGAGGAGTTTTAGATAAATTCTGAAAGGCTCAGTGTGAGCGGCCATCTGCCGAGGCCGACTGGGGTTCAAGGAGACAGAAGCAGAGATACAAAAAGCAGCTGTAAAAGGCGGCCCCGTCCAGGAAACACACAGCCAGGCAGACAAGCTCCAAGGCAGCTCCCATGCCAGAGGACGAAGAGAGCACATCCACTCAGTCACGGTCAGAGAAACAGGACCACACTGAAAAACAGGCCGATCTCCAACATCTATAAACAAGGGTGTTGATGGAAGCAGCACAGCTGATGTTTCTTTCCAGGATGACGTCACTTACAACCATAACAATAACAAAAACACTTTTCCACAAGGTATTATGCACACATACAGACCAAACTGTTGGGAATATCATTTAAAAAAGCAATCAAAACTCCAAAATCCTAACTGAGCCAGTAACTCAGATGAATTTGGATAACCTTTTTGTTATCAGAACTTTAAATCCAATTGGGAGTTCAGTCATGAAATAAAAGATGTTCAATACTATTGATCATCAATACTGTTCATGTGATCACTTATCTGAAAATGTTGCATACTATCTGCACCATTTTGGTGTGTTATTGATGTGAAAAGTGAGCCATTTATATTCATGCAGATATAATTATGCTTTTTGTTGATAATAAAAGAACGATCAAGCAAATTAGATGCTTTAGAACTTATTTAGAAAGTATTTTTACACGTTGACAGACTTCACTTGGCAATAAAGTAGGTATAATGCTAAAACAAATATTGCTTTTTAAGCGATAAAAAAAAATCTACTTTGCAATAGATATAAACAGTGATCACACTATTCCATGACAGCAACACATTGTCACCCCAGTATTTCTGTGAAAAACAAGTATCCAATGCAAGTGAATTCAGTATGGAGCTAAGATAGGAAAAAGCAACATGTGTTGAAGTGAACATCATCTATCTTGAATCTGAAAGTCAGATACCATCCATCCATTCAGACTCGATAGTCCAACTTCTAGGTGGGCGTTTCTCTTGACATTTATGACTTAGTACTACTTATAAGTTTCAACTTGCAAAGACAAATTGAATGCACCATAAATCTATCAAATAATCACCAAAAACCAACCAAAATTCATGTTAAATTCAACCAATATATGCCAAGCGTTCATTGTAACAGTGTTTACCTAGTCCATTTATTGTGTGAAAAGAATTTTTTCAGTGGGTGGAATCAGCAGATATAGACATTGGCCGTTTCTCAATATGTGTAATTGTGCCTTCTCATGTGCTCGTGTACTCGTGAAACGTCAACAGCTTCAGCTTTACTACTGTTCCAATTCACAAGAACAAGAAGACCGAGATCGGACAAAGTGTTGTTCTCGCCCTTCCATCTTTACCTACCCTTCCATCAGAGCAGGCTTGTCCATTCTTGCGATTGACAGCTGTCCCAGCATACACCACGGCAGCAGCAGCTCCCAGGTTAGCGCTCACAGAGCTCATAGTATAAAGTTAAAAGTTCTCTTTTCTGTTGCCCTTATTCAATAAAAGTGCATTTTAAGATCACTTGAGGTGAGAATGTTATACTTTTAATAGTCACTATATTACCCATGTGTAAAATATAACACGACAGACAGAAATGAAAATGTTTCATTACCTTTCCAAGCCCAGGATTATCTTTGACCTTGTTGGCCGCTCTGAGAAGACAAGGTGGGGCAGGTGGAGGCGCCGTCAACAAAGCAGAGCTGAAGTTAGTTGGGAACAGATTATGGTCACATGACGGGGATGGAGATGACGTCACTGGGGCTGTAAGTGTCGTGGTTTTCTGCTTCTTTTTCTTTGATGTTAAGTTCAACTTTTGGGCGGCTCTGAAAGAAAGAAGTAGAGTTGCCCATTAAATGATGAGAATAATGATTTGATTTTGATGTGATTTATTTCTGACTAAAAGACTGATTTTCCTTCCAGTTCCCCTGCAATATTCAATATATCCATTACCAACTTGCATAAAAACAAAATACGTATGTATATGCAGGAACAGGCTGTTGGCATAACTCTCCATACATTTTTAATTGGATGAAAATAAGAACCATCCCAGGAGATTAATATTAGGTTAAAACCAGTTTTCATTGACACATCATTGACCCAAACATTCACCTCTAATGTAACAGACAGCAAATATAAAAATCTGAGTCTTTTTGACAAAATGTTGGAACACCAGTCTCCCCTCTCACAATGAGCTGAGTTTCTGAGAGGTTCCTGTTCTCAAGCCAAAACCTTGGACCATGACAAAAATTTACATCTGTTCGAATCGCCGAGCAAGAGATCTTCTGGAAAAGTTGAATCACTAGATAAGACAAAGACTGGAGTCAAATTGAGCCATTGAAAACTAAAAACAAACCACTTGTCAAGCATGGTAGCTGCAGCATCATACTTAGGCCAGATGTGTACTGTAGATGTGTATTGTGCAAAATGTATATAGCTATTTATTTTTATGTCAAATAACCATCATCATGGTTTAAACTCGGTCACACCTTCATATTCTAGCAGAACAATAACCTCACATCCAAAAAGAGTTTGGACTCAATATGGCAGGCTACATTAGGCTCTAACGAATGGCTCTGACAACCAGATATATTCTTGAAGCCTGATTATCAGGAAACCACGCAATTCAACTCAAATTCCTTCTTGAAAAAATAGAATAGGCAAATATTCCAAAGAATCAAGTCAGAAGCTTGTTGGTAGCCAAAGAGAGAGTGTGTGATCTCTCCTTAACTTCAGGAGGGAGATTTAAACACATTTTAACAGGGTCTTTATAAAACTGTATGTATATTATTGATCTAAATTGATTCAAATTAAATAAAGCTACAGTGTGTAATTTTCAGCAACATCTAACGTCCAGACTGCAGACCGCAGCAACATGAACATCTCCCCCACACCGCTTCTCCCCCCCAACAGTACGGCGAGCGTTACGGGACAAAATGTCTTCCACGACGTCCGCATCACCTACCTTCTCAAGTGATGAGGTTTGTTTACATAGATAATTTTACAGATAGTATTTCATTAGTCTGTGTAGGGTATAGATTTCAGTACCGTCTCAGTTCATCTCTCTCAACTTGCCGTAGTTACTTTCGAGCGTAATGGGCAATCTCGCAATCGCTAGTTTGTTGGCTAAAGTAGTGATAAGTATAAAGAAAGAAAGGGTGTAAATTATTCAATGCAATCCAAGAAGTCTAACTACTCTCATATTCTTCATACTGTGTTTCCAGTTTAACTAAATTAAATTCCCATAAAACAGCTGTAGCAATGGTTGCAGCGCTATTCTTCAACTCCCACGAATCATTTAGAGAGCATATAAGGAGAGGAAGAAAGTAAGAGACCTTGTGCCCTGATACACTCTTTGTCAAGAAGCTATATTCTCACACCATTGGCTTTCAATTAACTGCAGCAAGTTTCAGAAATAAGAGCGAGGGAGAGAGTCAGCGAAAGGAGAGCTGGGAAGGGGGGGGGGGGGGGGGGATGTGAATCAAGTGACCCATGGAACGTTGAAGCACTTCACCGTTTGACTGGCTCCCCCTGGAGATTTGTGTGTGAATCCTTGTGTGTGTCTGAATGCGCACCGCGTGAAACACACCTCCATGAGAAGACATTAATTGGGTTTTTCCAATGTACAGGCTAAGCTTGCAAATTTGGAATGCGATCAAAGGCAATTACAAGTTTGTATTATGTGGGTGTAATGCTCCAAACCTCCCCATGCATCATGTGATGAACACTATTGAAACCTGCCCCTGCAGGATTGGTTCTTTATTACTGTCATTGCAGACAGGATTTTACTTCTTCTAATCGTATTCATAAGAGTTTTAAAAGAAGTTGCAAGTTTATTTTCTAAATTAGCCAAATTACAAAGCATGTTTTGTAGATGTGTAATATCTAAATTCATATTTCTATGTGATTTCTTGCTCATCAATAAAAGTAGGGGCTGTAGGGGCTGCTGCAGTGCTGCTGATGGTTGCAGGAGGAGGCATGACAATGATGGATTTGTTCGTTGTGCTGCAGGGGATTCCTGCTACTAACCTGCATGCATTTCCCTTTGCACAGTACAACAGTGCTTACCTGGAGCAGTATACACACACACACACACACACACACACACATTAAAACTATATATATATAGTTCTAATGTGTAAAACCCTTGAATTTTTCTTAGGTGCTTTTACAAATTAGTATTTGGGCAGTTGCAATGCCTTTTCTTCAACTCAGTGATTCAGTCGACAGCTAAATTAAAGTTATTGACACTTCAACAACCTCTAATTGTTGGTGTTTAATGACAGGTGTCCTGGGATTTGGTTAAGCAAATCTATTCCAAACAAACCCTAAATTGAACTGTATATGTTTTACATCAATCGAATTATCAGCTCCTTTCCATAACCTTCATTCTCAAACTCATATTCAGTCCTCGATCCCCTCCAGATTTCTGCCATACGGAAACCTCTCCATTTGTTTCATTTTCTCACTCAATATTTCTTTCTTTCTGGCTTCAAAACATCCACTCATCCTACCCAAAATGCATCGATTCCTTAATTACAGACTGCCTCTTCCTCTCCCCTCGCAGGCTTCAGGTATCTGTCTCTTGTTAGGAAGCATCAGAGGTCAGCTGGTAACGAGACCCTGCATTGTTTTCTTCCTCCTTTCATGCAAACACAAACACCTTTGCTTTGGGAGCACTGCTGATTGATGACTGGTTTGTCTGCTGTGCTGTTGGTTCGGTAGATAATTATGTTCTGTTTAGCAGACCATCAGTATAAGAGGAAGAGAGACAGAGACTAATGGTAGACATGTGAAAGTGTACTTGTTTGAGTCACATTAGGTCATGATAATGACTATAGAGGACAGCAGAATGGAAAGACGATTGGCTTTACTGAGATTATAAAGATGTGGTCAAAAATGAGCATGTTATGATGAAAATGACAGGGACTGGTGTTTTATTAGACTGATAGACGTATTCAAAGACACATGAAGATTCTAGAATTACTTAATTTTTTTTGGCTTCTAAGATTTGTGTCTGTTTAAACCCATCAAGGTTTATTGCTATATTAATTATTGAAATAAGACGTGCACAAACATGTCATTCCTGAGTACAAAATTAGGTTTCATCCAAAGCTTTCTGGATTCTGTATAGGGTTTATAAAAAGATTTCTAGGGTATAATTTTCAGTTGTATATATAAAGTACTTAAGAAATGATAGTGTACAGTTAAAAGTAAACACAATTTGATGCACAATACTAAGGATGAAAAGGGTTACAGAGGTTACAAAAAACTACAGCTTTAGTTTGTGTGTTTCAGTTTGGATCACTTCATAGCCAAATTGAATAAAGTCAAAATGTAATCAAGTATAAAGCACAACAATTGAGGTTTAATTTAATATTTGGTGCCTTTTTCTTATCCTGCAGAAGTTCGAAATAGTACAACATTATAATTTCAAGTAAAAAAAAAAACGAAAAACAGGAAAAACATTTTTAATAATTGTAGGATGTATAAACAGAAAAAATGTGTTTTTGATCTGACTCTTCCTCATCTGATTCTTCTTTTGACCTGATTTCTGTCTTGTGTTTTTGCTTGATGACCATCTGTTCAGATCCTTAATCCTCCAGTGTAACGGGTGGCTAATTGGTGGTCATTTATCATTGGACAAAAAAAAAAAAAAGCTTTCCAAAAAAATAAAATAAAAAACAAGAAAAAAACTAAAACCCAACAAAATGTACCAAAACGCAAACAGACTGAAAAAGAGAAAGCAGCCTACACATCTCTACCATCCTCTATCTGAAATAACGAAGCCTTCCCAATTCACCAATTCACTTGGGGCCTATTCATTTTCTCAGCTGCCTCTCGCAGCACACACACAGCCACTCAAATCCCCACAGATCCGATCCTTGGAGCATGCAGTTAAAAAAAATTCCTTCACTGATAGAAACACCCTCCCCCAGTGAGTACCAGCATGCACACACCACAGCGAGTCTCTATTGCAGGGTCCCCAGAGGGCCACTGCAGCATAGGAAAGATGTAGAGTTCCTGTGCAAGTGTGACATATTCCACAGACAGATCGCCACTAATGAGAGATATTACTCAGATATGCATTAGAGTAGAGGTAAAGGAAAGGTCAGTGTGAAAATGGAGAAAGTGTGGATGAAGGAGAGGGGAGAACAATAGGGAAGAAGGAGAGCAATTAAATGAAAACAGGAGAGCTGCACACCGAGGAGAAAACTAGAAATGGGTATTGACAGCAGAGGCTGAGGAGAAATGGAGAAAGACAGGGGATCAGGTGAGAGGACCTGGGTTGGACATGGGAATTTTGTGCAGACAGCGAGCCAGACAAAGATTGTATTCGTCTCTGTATGCAGTCCACGTCTGAGAGTGAAGCTCGAGACCTGCACGGGATTTACCAGCCATGCAAGGTTGCATTTAATGACCATGAACACAGGTTAAGAGAAAAATGCAGATGCAGTCCAACCTACATTCCTAGCCAGCTCGTATTTTACAATTCAAGTGATAACGGAAATCTTCACAAAGTGCATAAAAAACAGGTGTTACAGACATGTGAAAATATCTGGACAATGTTCCGGTATTATTGCACGACTGTGAAAAGACATGGAATAAAAACCATTCAGTTCTTCTATCATATTTTTCCTGGAGCTCACACACCTTGAATTGAAATGCTAGAATCATTTAAGCCTTTTCTTTGGCTGTTTGGAATTAACTACATCTACTGTACCTCAGATGGATGCATTACTGCATCTGTCTGTCAGCTGTGTATAATGCATTGAGGGGATTTTTACCTGAAGCTCTCTGTTGTTACGAAATAAGACAAGATTTGGTTTTCTGTACTTTTAAATGGAAGTAATCAGATTGTTTCACTCAATTTTTCCTTCTTTTTTAAAATACTTATACTTTTTCACATACCATCTTACAGTGAGACTCTCATACCAGTCCTACAATTAAAATAATAGAAAAAAAAATAATAAATTTATCTCACAATGGAGAAATTAACTCTTATTTTAAAACCGCATTTAACCCTTCCCCTTTGGGGAGCAGTGGGCTGCCACTGTGCAGCGACCGGGGAGCAATCAGGGGTTAAGGCTCTTGTTCAGAGAGCCAGAGTGGCAGTCTGTGGGAGTGGGTTTCAAACTCACAACCTCAGGATTCCAAGCCCTATGCCCTAACTACTAGGCTGCCACTCCCACTCCCTCCCTTAATGTGCTCAGTAAATATATAAGTCTTATGCTTTAATTATTCACCTCATTTCTACACAACCTGGGTATTGTAGGGGTCCAAGCTCTTGCAATCAACTGGCAGAGAGGAAAGCCTGCGTGTTTAAGAGGACATTTGTGTAATTTACTACTCTGACAGACACTATTATGTCTGCTACACAGGTGTATATCAGTTATATATCAAAGATTGAAGACAGTCATTCAATTATCTACAGATGAACAACACAGAAGAGGCGTGAAGGCAAAGAAGAGGTGTGAAAGCAATGAAGAAAAACCATCAGTGTTATTGGTGATGTGATTTAAAGCAGTTCATTAGGTATGACGTCCCAGTGATTTTTCAGATACGGTGACAGACTCAGACTCTGGTGTAAACCATGAATAATTAACTCATTTATTTTGAGCTTGCTGTGTTTTTCATCAATAATGTCCCCATGTTAACCCTGTCTTATTTATGTTGTTTCGGGTAAGCATCTCTTCTGGGCTTGATTATGTACAACTTATTCCAAGATAGCTGACTTGTACGAAGAAATAATAGTGTCTCAGGCGACTGAGAACAAATTCTCATTTACAACAAAGATCTGACTAAAAGGCAACATTAAAAGGTAATAAATAATTTAAACAATAATCAAAATCTTTAATCATACCACAAAAAGGAACAACAAAAGAAAGTACAAAAGCTTTCAGGTCAAATCTGTTTGAGTCTGTTTTAAAATTCCTTCAACTTTATCTGATTAAATTCAAAGTAGAATCTTTTCTATTCACTCCTTTCTATGCAGTGAAGTCTGAAACTGTCATGATCTGCTCTGATAGCTGGCCTTAATTACTCATGCCTTTCACCTGCTTAACTCTTTCCAGCTGCTAATTATCACTCATCTCATCCACCTGCCAGTTTCCTTTATATTGGGCTCAGTTCCAGCTATCATGGTCAGATCATTGTTTGCTTTCGGTTTGGTCCCCGTGTGATTCTTGTTAGTGTCCTGTCTGTCAGCTTTGTTAGTTTTAGGTTTATTTCCAAGGTTCTGTTTTCCTGGATCCATTTCCTCTCGCCCACTGGCCCTGTCTGGTCTGCTCGCCTGAACCTCTGTTAGACTCCTGCTGGATTTTGCCTCCCAGGTGCGTTTCTGTCTGAGCTGGAGGCTCGACGCACATGACCTGCCTTCTCTGATGGAATCCTGGAACCTGGATGTGTCCGTTCCTGAATGGATCGGAACCCCTGATCAGACTGCAGACTTCTGGATTCCAGTACTACTCAGGTCTGATCTGAATCCCTGTCCTGGACTGGAGTCCAGCCTGCTTACTGGGGTTGCTGCATCAGGGAGGCTCTGGATGGCTCAGGGCCGCATCTCGTTTGCAGATCATCGGCTTATCCTGCCTATGATTGAGAGGATGGACTGAACTGTTAAACTAGGTAAGTGTCTCAGTCTAATAATCATCTTCAGTTCAGACGATCATGGTCTGTGTTTCTTCCTAAACCAGAATGTCAGTGATTGGGCGGTGCCCCGCCCCCCTCCCGCAGATCCTCAGCAGTCCGCTTTAGTTCTGTAAATTTGTTTGTTTTGATTAAACTTTTTGAACTTTCCTACTGGCTGTCTCACCTTAAATACTGGGTCCCTCTGTCCTCTTTTACGACAGAAACCTCAAAACTCGTTGACTAGTTGGATCTTATACTGTTACCCTTCCTCTGTTTCGTAATGATTAAACAATAAAATTAGACCCCAAATGTATTCAAAACAAACTTCTGTCAAAAAGTAAGATTTAAATCTACAGTAAGGTTTTCCTTTAAAAACAAAAAAATACAGTAAGGTTTTCCATGCGACAGAGTACACCGAGAGTGTGTCTCAGCAACATTTTTTAATTAAATAAACATACTTTATGATCAGCAATAATTCCAGCTCTATATTCTCGTCAGCACAGCGTAAATAACAAGAGATGTCTGACACACCTCTAACTTTGCTCCCACTCCTACTCAAAATATACCTCTTTTAACTCATTGTTGAGCAAAAACTTGTTTTCAACTATAGAAAATGACAATCGAATGTTTAGTCCTCTTTGGAACATCCATGATCACTTTTAGAGAAACTTTCAGTGTATTCTGAACACTGAAAGAACAGGTTGCCAGTCAGTTGCAAATGACCAAAAGCCAAAAAGGTTTAGATCAGGGAAAAGATACCACAGAAAAACCTTCACATTATATAAGCAGAGGTAAATAAATCAAGAGTACTAGGGAAAAACTAACAACATTGGCATATCAGAAACTGTCAATCTCAAACATTAAAAGAGCCTTAAGAGCCTTAAAAGTTAAAGAGCAACAGAAATCTCTGGTGGATATTAGTGGTGTTCTGTATGTGACAATAACCTGTTGTAGGATTCATGTGGACTGGAGAGGAAATGAGCTTATATGTTATGGTCTAATGCAGTGATTCCCAACCGGGGTATTCATACCCCTAGTGGTCCATGAGTGCATTGCAATGGGTACATGAAAATATTTTATTTCTTAGGTAGTTAAATAAAATTGGGATCAGGTCTGTTTTGCTTTGTGAGGTCCCAACTGAAAAATTAAACAAGCTTTTATTAACCAAAAAGTAGGTTTTTATTATATGTTTGAGTTCACCTTCAGCTTTGACACACATCCAAATCAAGCAGAGGAACAGACTGGAGGTAGAGAACAGCCTGGGATCAGCTGTTTTTCACACTGAGCTATGGAGCTCATCAAAGCAGCTTCGGTGTTTTGATGAAAACAGAGTAAAACGAATTAAGTCAGTCTGACTATAATTTTTGTTCTGTATTTTGTTACCAATTCATAGAGTATAAAATGTGATATAGGGGAGTTACTCAGAGAAGCTCCAGTTTTATAAATACAGGTTTATATTATGATTTTATTTGTATTTATTTTGATTCCTTACTAACTTCTAGGGATCATATTTATGTTTTTTTTTTTTTTTTGAGACTGAAAGCATAACATGCCTAAGAGTTAAATAGTTTTTTTTTATTTTATAATCAGTTATTGTATGTTCTACTTTATCTATCTTCAAGCATCACACGACAACTTTCACCAAGACCTCTATAATGCGGTTTTACAGGCTTTGGTTATTAACGCAGACGCGACAGTGACTGCTGCTGCGTAACGTCCACACTTCCACGAAGCCAGCCAGACACCCACTCACACATACTAGGTCTACAACGTCAGCCTGAGTGTTGTGAAAACACCAACATAAAACAATACAATATAGAGGCAGACAGGCAGTTCTTCAAGAATGAATACATGAAAGCTCAGTGGTGTGTCAGCATTCACTGTGAGTCTAGGTGGCATGTGGGCAATGAAATAGAATAATGTAAACACCATGGTTCCATCAGTCAACAGAACAAAACCAATGAAACCAGCAGTCCTACTGATAATGCTACTATTAAGAGTAGAAGTGGTGAAGTGGTGAAATGTACACCTTGACACACAGCCGCCACAGTCAATTGAATGCCTTCCAAAGCCTTCACACTAGGTTACAAGCATCATGCGTTTACAGTGATATTTCACTCTCCATGAAGAAAAAAGCTAAACACGATGAGCACGGACACACAGTTTTAAGTATATCATTCTTTTTAGAGGAATATAACTATAAAAAGTCTGTCAACATAGCACAAATGAAATATTCGAACATCCAAGCCTGAACAGGGTTGTCATAATTTGGACTTTGAGTAGAATAGATTTGGGCAAATTTTGCAAAGTCAAGCTGGTAGACTCTCATCAGAAAGTGAATGCTGAAATGGAATGAAAAACAGTGGTGTAACACAGCAATTATTCCAGAGTGTGCACAGATGACCAAGACATTTTATTCTGTGGGTCTTTCTATTGCACATTTATATTGCATTATAGTTGGAAATGTCTTTAAAAGTGTTTCTATTGTCGTATTTTATTAGTAAGAAAACAAAAACAAGACAAAAATACAATTTTTACCAGGATGTGAACATTTTTCATAAACACTGTATGGAGTTTAGTACAAAGAAATTTATAATAGTTTCCTCATAGCCTCTAATCTGATTTTTTCCAAATGCTGCCATCAGTCAAAAGTATTATCATTAAATTTAAAAAGCATTTTGAGTCATAAGGATGCTTTAAATAGAAATTATTTTGATTGAGGGAAAGCAGATACAGATACATTTGTATTTTCTCATTCTGAAGAAAACTTTATAATCTGTGGAAGTCTGAGTATTGCACGCTTATAAATACAGTCTAAGTCAAAGTCAGATGAACCCCCAACCGGCGGTCTGTAAACTGCTTTTGAGGCTTAGGACTGAGAGCATCTTACTGTACCTGGCAAAAAAGGAGGCAGCTGCAGAAGTGGCAGTGGGTGCTGAGGTGGTAACCGCTGGAGTGTTAGAGGGAGAGCTGGTGTGCGATGGTGAGTTCGTATTTGCAGGGGAGTGGGAGTTGTAGCGGTTCAGGGCAGCTTCAGTCCCTCCTTCTTTTGAAGCGTCAGAAATCATCTGGGAGATCTAAAACACAGAGAGACAGACCCTTTACTATGTTTCCCAAAAATAAGCCTGTTTATAAAAATCATATTTGAAAGGTAAATCACCAATTAATCACCAAATCCTACACAGTGGACCAGCCATGGCGGTGTAGTAGCATTAAGGTTGCTTTTTTTTCATTCTACAACTGTAGTTTGTACGTAAGGTAACCACGTTTACAAAGATAAGATCCAGACTGAGGATAAAATAACAATGAGACAGAGAAGCAAAATACCATCACTCTGCTTGATCTTCTCTCCCAGGCAGACAGATGTAATTTTGGGTTTGAATTCTTCAACACTGATCCATGTTTATTGTGTCAGACATTTTCACCCAGACTATGGTTAATCTTTGGTCTACATTTTTCCAGATCGACAGGTAAATAAACCCATGTCGCTTTGTGCTATGCCCCATTTTTACAGAGATTAATGTGATTTACAGCAATAAATCCTCTCTTTCTTTCTATTTAATTCTAGGAAAAAATTAAACCCTTTATAAACACAAAAAAAAAACCCAACAAAAACGAAAGCATCTAATGCACTGTGTGTGCTATTAATAGCTGACTGACAGCAGATAACCTCTTTATTGATCAGCAGGTCGATCTGTTCTAGATATACAGAGGTAAATCTTCTCCTGGCCATCTTATGACCCTTAGTTCGATAATATCCCCATTTCTCTTTATCTACATTCAGTCCCTGTTAATGTTAATTTCATAGACAATTGGAAAAATAACTATTTCATATAACTATTTCTTTGCTTTATAAGACTGCATCATATCATAATTTCAATCAGATAAAGTATCAAAAATAAATTTTAACCTATAACACTTCAATAAGATAATTACCAATTAACATTTAGTAACATATGAATGCTTAGGGGGTTTATAGAGAGCACTGCTGTTGCTAGTCAGAGATCTTTTGTTAACAAAAAATAGAGCATGCCTTAAATAGGGCAAAACACTTGTTATTGATGGATAAGAATGTGCTGCATTTATTTCTTGTTTTTCAGTTTTGAGGAGTCACTGCAGCAGTGCAGCCACTGAGTAAAGTATGCATTTATTTAAGCAGACATCTAAGAAATGTTTTTTTGTATTTGCGCTTATTAATTTCTTCAGACATGATCATCAAATCATGTTAAGGTAAACTAATAAACAACACACAGAACATGTAGTTCCCAAAATTTGCAGTTCATCTCTCTAAAAGCATTGGGACTCCAGAACAGTTCGCTGTTATATCCTAGAAAAGGATTAGGTAGTCTTCCCCCGGGGCCCGGACACTGGTGGTGGAATAAGCCAGAGGATGAGAGGGACTGAAAATAAGGGAGGAGATAGGGTGGAGGTGGGTGAAAGTTCGCCTGTATGCGGGAGAGAGAACGGCCAGGAGCTAAATGAAGGGGCTAGATGATAGGCTTCAGAGAAGGTGCGGCCCCCGAGCTGATTGCTGGAGCTGAACGATGAATATCGCAGGTAGTTCAGGTGAAGCTAATAAGAGTATTCCAGATTGAATTTACTCTTAAGCTTCATCTCTGCATTAACCTCTGCATTAACTAACCCTGATAAGTTTACAAACTTCGAAAGGAAAATGCTAAATTTAAATATTAATCTGTTCAGTTTAGAGCTAGTTCTGGTTGACAATGATGACCTAGACAGAAGACAGCACACTTGAGTCAGCTGATTTCATTACCTCCCCTGAATATCATCAAGTTCTGCAGAGAAGTCTGTTAGTGATTTATTCATTTAAATCTGATTTATACCAACAGAGAAACATATCAAACATAAAGCAAGTCAGTCTATTTGGACTAGGGTTAGGGACCGTTGAAGTAGTACGTAGACTAGAGGAACCAAAATCAAAACTATTGATGATTAAATGCTGATAAAGGTTTTAAGTGACACTACGCTCTTGCATGAATATAAAAGCATGCTGACCTTATTCTTCACAATCCTGTCCTAATCCATTTGAAAATATGCAGCTTGTACAACTCTATGACCATAGGTGTTTTCATACTTCAGATGCCATTATGCATCTGTTTAATCGCCACCAAAAATACTTACGCAAAAATATTTTTACACAGAAGCAATAAATACCTCCCCCTCTCTTCACATCCCAAATGTATACACACATACCATGAATAATATGTAGTGCTTCTGTCGTGTGTATGTGGTGTTTGACTTGTAGCAGTGAGTAGTAGTGGTATATGGGTGGTCAAGTGAATCATTTCTGTCACAGGTATGGATTATTGATTACAGTTCTTTATGGTCTGTCTGATACTAGACAGCAGAGCACCTGAATTATAACCAAACACTTCAATGGAGGATCGCTTTAGGAGCGCTTTGGTCCATTGTGTGTCTTTGTTTGTGTCCTTGGGTAGCTCAGTGTCTACACTTCTCCATACTTGTGTGTATAGGTGCGTAAATCAGCTCTGCTTGACTTATATTTACTGCCAAAGGCTCCTGGGGATGAAGCAGGTTGCCTGCTGCTTGATAAATAGCCTTTTGTAAACAATATCCCTGTGCAGTTTATATACAGATACAACACCTCTTTGTGCTTTACAAGCAATTGAAATGCTCAGTATAGATCTAAAATGTGGTGATTTGGAATATGAGAGTTATTGTTTAAACATTTAGACCTAAACGGTGCATAATAAAGGACACCAAAACAATATAGAAACGGTTGCCTGTGGATAAAACCAGCAGACCAATTCATCCACAGGTCTGCCTGGGGAGCCGCTGTACACCGCATAAAAAATAAATAAATCTAAGTAAGTCTGTTTCTTATATTAAGTGAATTTTTTCTTGAACTGAGCAGGTAAGTAAGAAAATTTACATTTAAAATATTTAAAAAAAACCTGCACTCTAAGATTAAGGTAAAATATACTCATTTGATTGGCAGATCATCTTATTTACCCACCCAAATAAAGGGTAAATACACTTATTTTACTACTGTTTTACTCAGTTTAAGATCATTTGTGCAGTTTAACTGTTTAGGAGTTAGAAATCGTGTAGATGTGCTTGCAAGAATTTTACATTTTTAATTAATGTATTACATGTATTAAATATTATTTAATTTTAAAAAATTAGTTAATCGTTCACATGGCAGATTTCAATTCAAAGTCAATTAGATATCAGCATCTACGGAAATATTAGTTTTGGGGAAAAAAAGTATCTTTTAATATAAAATTACATGTCAGTAATTATTTAGAAGCTTCTTAATTATCAGTAAACAAATCTTTATGGTGATAAGAGCAACAAGGTAAATCTAATAATTGCTGACGAACCTGTCCAATTTTCACTTCTACTTTGGCCATTTATTTTTGATCATTAGCTTTAAATCATTGGAAACCCTTCTTGCCATCACCATAATCTGCTGCTCCCTCGTCAGATTCTCTTAGAGATTCAAGGCTTAACTCTAAATGGACCACTTTAAAACATCACTACTTGCAATCCGAACAAAGATGTTGGTCAAATAAATACAAGAAATACTTTAAACCTGAGACGTTGAGTTCACATGTTGCTGGACATTCAGTTAATATGCCGGGAGTTTTAAGGAACTGTTAGACTTGTTGTTCATTTAGTTTGGATATGACTGCTTAAAACTGTTAAATTATTGCTTTTGATAAGTATTTTTAAAGTTAATTAGATGACTATAAAGGAATTTTAAGCCACAAGAAATTACAAAAAAATAAATCTTTATTCAGAATGCATAAAAGTTTTAAAAATAGAACATTCCTAACAGGAAAAAAGCTTATGTGTGTAACAAGGTAACTATATTTATCCTGCATTTTCCACTAACCTAATCTAGATTCAGTTTGGCTCTGCAGAAATACAGATTATATGAATTTATGTTTGCAATCTGAAGGAAGACCTTGCAACCACATCAGGAGTTTAGAGAGTGACATTAAGACTGTAAGCCAAATTTAAATTCCTACACTGTGTACACAACACATAACTAAATTAAAAAGGTTATTGAATATTAGAAATTTGAATCATTCAAATCCTAATAAAGTATATTACATTGTAATTGTAATATTAAAAGTTGGTCAAATGTAAACGTATCTAGCTTTAATCTAATCAACAATTTTTTATTTATTACTTTATTTATTTGACTTAATCTGTATGCCTTTATATATATATTTTTTTTTCATTTATAATCTTATTCATATTTTAGGCACAGAAGCAGGTTAAAGAAATAATGTTAATTTTCGTTTCAAATCAATTAAGCATTAAAAGGCGAAACACTAGCAATCATAAGTAGCCATTAGGGCTAGAAAGAGCATCATGAATCATTCCTTGATTTGCGTTTCTTGTATCAAAAATTGTTAGAGGCTATTACCTATTCTCTCAGGACCTATAGGCCTATATGTAGTTGAAAGAGCCATAAGTGAATAACATATGCATAAATGTGTGTGTGTGTATATATATATTTAAGGGATTTTCAATACAGAAATAGCAGGTCACTGATGACTATGTGTGTGTACTGTACAGAATATGCACGTTCTACTTGGTCAGGACTGCTTTTGCATAAATCGCTTTGAAAATGCAGGGTTGGAGGTTAAAACCAAGATTTCCATAAGACTTGTTTCTTTAGAAAAACAAGAAGTTTACAGACAGGTGGCTGCACTGACTGAGTTTTTGTGAGAATTGTGATTCCATATTAAAGGACGACTTCAGACCAATAGACAACAATCCAGTCTGTATCTTCCCTCTTCACTCTTCTGATGGCGTCTCTGGTTCAGGAAGACTTAATACATTGTTGTATTTTAACACCAGGGCATGTCTGCTGAGGTGGACTGAGACACAGAAACACCACCAACATCCTGTACATTACACACTGGTCTTACAACTGCTTACGTTTGTTACATTATGTGATAAAAATATTGTTTTTTATGAATGGAAGCATATCCCTTGTATCAAAATCTTATCCTAGCTCTCAGAGAAACAGCCTAAACTTTTCTAAAAGAAAAACTATGACCTGGTTGATGCAATGAAT